CTTCTCAACGTGGTAACAGAGTCACTGAAAACCAATGTCAGAGTGTGCGTGTGTGTGTCCACCCCTGGACAAAGGGTTTTCCACCGCCACTCTTTTCACCGTTTTTCCACCACTTTCAACGTGCAGGGGGCTCACGGGTCTGTTCCTGGCGTGAGCCAACGAAGCTCCAGGTTCAGACTAGGATATCGAAAGAGGACGCTCTTTCGACGTACCTGCGCCAACTTTTGACCAAGCCGTTCCAATCTCCTTTGGTTTGATTCCATGGTCTTTCATGTTTCCCTCCCCCAAACTTCGCCGAGCTTCTTGCAGCTTAGCTTTGCAGCCGACTCGCAGCGCGCCGCTCGTTTCTGCAGACGTGAACAACAATTTGTTGAAACACCTACAAGTTTTCGGACCTTTCACCTTGCGGTTCTTCACCATCCTTCCCATCGTGGAAATTGAGTCACTGAATACAAGTGTCAGAGTGTGTGTGTGTGTGTGTGTGTCGATGATCTGTCGACGTATCAAATGTGCGTCATGACCATCTCTCTGACCAAATATCCCGAACAATCCATGTGAGCATGGTATTTACATGACTAAACTATATACCTTGCACGACCAAAAAAAACATCAAAAAGCGCAAAAAGCACCAAATGTAGGCCAGATTGCTTCACTTCCATTTGATCCTTGAGGCATTCACTTCTCAACCGTTTCTCTCCTGCATGGCTCGATGCCTCCGACTCCGCCGGCTCCGCACCCGTCTTCTGACTCTTCCGCTTCCCTCGGCGCCGGCGCCGGCGCTTCGGCCCCTCATCCGGCTCCGGGGGCGGCTCGGCTAAGGGCTCGGGTGGCGCGTCGTCGAGTGGAGGTTGATGCGGATCGGACTTCGGGGTGAGGAGCTTCTGATTTTGCGTGTGTTCCTGGATGAGCTGTTGTTCCAGGACTTGATGCGTGTGCACTGTCACTGGCTGGTCCACGGGAAACGGGGGTAAAGGCACTGGTAAAGGCTGTTCAGCCATGGGCGGCGAGAATGGCAGACCGCCGGAGGGGCCACAAGTCAGAGGTGTAGTGCTCAATGGTGGCAAGCTTGTCATTGGCAAGCACGGACCATGCACCTGGCATTCAACATATGTGCAAAACATGTAATGTGATGATTCCACCCCACTGACGACGCCCTTCAGCACCTGTGAAGGAGGAGCCCGAGCCCCGCCCTTCCCAATCATCCAATCCCTTTTTTTGCTGCTCCTCCACCCATGTTCCGTTCATATTCCGGTCTTCGCGCGTGACCCGTCGACGGCGCTCAGCGCTCCGCCGCGCGCGGAGCAGCGCCGCCGCCGCGCCTGGGCGTCCATGGCGTCGGCGCCGTAGGGCCAGGGCATCATGGCTCCTCCTCCCATCGACCAGCTCAGGGGGTCGAAGGGATCGAGTGAAGGCGCACTGGGCGGCCTCAGACTGGCTGCGGTCAGCATGGCCGAGTGGAAAGGTGGGGGTTGCGTGACAGGAACGAGCGGCTGGCTGGCTGGCCTCTTTTAATGCCCAAGCGGTGCAAGAGGTGTTGTTTTGGGGTTTCTCTGAGGTTGCCAGGAATATCAATGCATGGCGCCTTACTGTGAGGGAGTGAGGTGCTTGTTGAAGGATCATACAAGATGTATCAGGATATATGGTCACCTTTGTTGAAGCACTCCAAAGAGTCTCAATGATGTTTGGTCAGTGGAGGCATCAGCGGGCATGGAGCTTCGAGTATATTCAAGCATTCGGCATTCCGAATAGAAGTTTGAGGCTTAAAACTTGAAACAACTCCATGCTCCAATCACATCCATCATCATCCATCACCCCAGATCAGTCCAGATCAGCCCAGTCGCCAAGTCCAGGGGTTGTACCCCTCGAAGTACATGCCCTCCGGCAACGCCTCCGGCATCGCCGCTTCCACCGGCGCCGCGGCCACCGGCGCGACCGGCGCGGTGGTGCCGGGGAGGATGAGGTTTTCCAGGCGCAGCTTGGCGGTCACGGGGCCCTCATCGGCATAGACCTCGTGTTTTGCGACTCCGTGATTCGGATCTATGTTCAGAAGGTTTGGAAATCCAGGATTGGTTACCACTGTCTTAAGTTGTGTTATATACATTGTGTTACACCGGCTTTCTGGCAACGGTGTTGCAAATTTGGGAATCAGTGGACGCTTTCTTCGCACAAAGGAGGTGAAGCAGTCACGCTAGCCACTTGGCTGGCTCACTTGACATACTTGCCGCTTCAAGTGCAAGACGTCGTCCTGGAAGTCGTCCTCGAAGACTATCTTTGGAATCATGTCACGATCATCCAGGTATACTATATTATAAACATATATTATCCAGGTATACTATATATTATCTATAATAATAGATAAAGGATGATACATGATAAACCCCTAGGGCTCCAAGTCGTAGCGTCTCGGTTTCGCTTCGGTCGGCACCAGTCGTCCGAACCGAAACGACTTGGAGCCCTGATCGCTGTGGGTCTGTGGGTCCCCATGGCCTCGGACCCTGGGTTTTGGACCAACCGGGCGAATGAAGCGAATAGACGACGGACCTGGGCCCCGTCCATGACGCTACCAGGGAGGCCAGGTCGCTTTTACGGATTGGTGTTTTGAAACGGGTGGACTCAATGGAGGCTCTGGATGAATAACCTCCCCGGTTGAATCAATAAGACCTCTTGATCTTCATATGGGGGGTGATTCAACAATCTAAGAGTCTACATGATGTCGTCTCTTCTCCCTTGAGAGTCGACAAAACGGCGCTCCTGTGCTCTCCTCTCACCGCAGCGCACCTTCACCACGTAGCGCCGCACGTGAGGATCGAAGGCCTCGATCCGGCAGAACTTGCCGTTGAAGGCCGCGGCTCCGCGATCATTGAGATGGGCGATCAACGCCGTGGTACCAATGAGCTCACTGACCTCGCAAAACGCGCCGCAGGTTTTGGGCGTCGCCATCCGTGGTGAAGAACACAGATGCCCTGCTTGGAACCCCAAACAACCAAAAACAAATGGTTGTTCCAATATGGCAATTGAAATCCTTTACATAGGAAATGGTTGTTTGGGGACACATCCATGCCCTGCGAGTCGACTAACCACGTTCTTGAAAAACAATGGGTCTGACTTGTCGACTCGAACAGGAAAAAGAAGCAGAAATGTCTTTCAGGTCATGTTCTTCGGGCGCTCCCCAAGAAGAGTCTATATAACTGGACTTCTTATACTTGTTAAAAGGGAGATGACGTGTCGTCATCATTTCCTGTGTCTTCTTCATTCTTCTTTCTTTTTCCCCCCGGTGTCGTCCGCGCGTGTCACGCGGTACCCAAACCGTCTGGAACCGCCAGCCCGAGGATCCCCAAGGCTCGGCCACAGGCTCCAGGTGAGGTGTAACTGGGGGGAACACCAACTCGGAAGAGTTACGGACTTCGAAAGATGTCACGTAGGGGATAAAGGTTTGAAAACGCCAGACACTCCTACATTGGGGTGATTGGTTTTGAGGGGTCCATGAAGTGTCTGGCAGCCCCACCGGTCGTGTCTGGGAGAGTCGAACGGCCGTGGAGACTTCGTGAGATGTGGTGTCCTTGGCACCTTCCAGGGGTTGCTGAGATGTTGATGTTGATGATGATGTTGATGTTGATGATGATGTTGATGTTGATGATGATGATGATGATGATGATGATGATGATGATGACGATGATGATGACGATGATGATGATGATGATACGTTCAATTATGTTTCTTTTATCAACCAGGGTGGTCCTGAAACTCCTGAGAGCTTATGACAACTCCAGGAGCTGGCACATCACAATGTAACTCCTTTTGCAAGCAAGTGGGCTCATCCACTGGTCTCGTCCCCCTGGACCGAATCAAGAAGTATCCTGTAAGCGCTGTAAGCTCCAGGACAGCCGGGATTGGTAAGTGACCATCCACCTGGACCTTCCCAGTGACCTCTTCAGGATTGGTAAGCGACCTTTTCAAGGCCTCTCTGTGGCCTCAGCCACTGGGATCTCAAAAGGTCACTTAAAGACCATCCATGGCAACGTCTCTTTCTCAGCAACACCCTCGCGGAACCGGATTCTCTTTTATGGATCGGTACAGTACAGAACTGCCGATCTCCAAGTGACTGCCTCGGACTCTGTCACATAGCCAGCAGGCGCTGGGGACATGGGCGCGTGGTCTCTGGGATCAGGCGGCGTGGAAGAAGAGGTGCTTTGTTTCCTTGGATGGGCTGAGGGCGGTGGCTCGTGGGAAAAAGAGCCGTCCAAAACTTGGTAGATGGTGACCCACCAGAGTGAATTGGAGTGAAGTGATGTAATAATAAATGGAGAGAGGTGACCTAATGATAGTGAAGTCCTGGTGCACCTGTCCGTAGTTTTCCCCATCTTTCAGGCTTCGGATTCCTTGATCGCTTTAGGGGGCAAAGTCTCAAATGAACCAAAAGGAACTTGCTAACTCTATTGATTATTAAGTCGTATCCAGGATGAGTTCCAAAAAAGGTGCCGACCAACTTGCCGGGGAGGAGAAGTAAGAAACTCGCCTATATAACCGACCATTTTCCTGGAAAATCCACATAGCAGGACACCAGACTAAGGGGTGTCTATTGATAGCCCCTTAGAGGTTAAGGGGTGTCCCTTAACCACCCCTTGTGGGTCCTGGTATTTATATTTATATATACAGTATATATATAGAAGCTCCATGCCAGCACCCTCCAACAGGTCACCAATTGAGACCTCTTACCGCCAACCCTCCATGTTGCTCCGACTCGGGCGCGAGTCGGGCGCGATCGTCGGTGGCGAGTCGGAACCTCCCGCATGGCCGCCGAAGCGTCACCACCGGACCTGGATCGGAGAAGTTGCGCCGCTCGTCTTGGCTGTCGACCGCAGAGACCTCGCCACTCAGAGGTCGGGACCGAACCCGGCCGAGACGGGCGGTGAGGAGAGGTCGTTCGGAGGTCTTTCGGAGGTCGGGGTGCCATTATATGCCGCCTTCATCTTCAAGGTATGAGGCCGTCTTGCCACCCAAACCCTGAGATAAAAACGCTTAGAAAGCGTCACCCACCAGCGAACTCCTGCGCTGAGGGCCGCTCCTTCTTACTTGGCACTTGAAACATGTAACTATTGTTGTAGGCTAAGCAAGCTAAGCCAGGCAGCCTATGACCCTCTAATTTCAAAAGGTGTCTCCTCCAGTCTCGTCCGAACAAACTGGCCAGCTTGTTCCACAAACATGTGTGTCTGTTTTTCTCCTTTGGCATGCGCAAGCCCTCCAGCAACCCCTGGGCCTCCAGGAAGGAGTTCTTGACTTTACATTCCAACTTCCGGATCGCTGAGCTTCGGTCGAACTCAGCTTCTTGCAAAGACAGATCTGGCAGCAGAAAGATGAGGCGCAAGCGTAAGGCCTCGTTGAGCTCTTGTTGGATCAGGCACTTCCTCAAAGGAGCGCTTGCTGCGGGCACTGCAGAGTGCCGTGAGCGGAGTGCAGTGAGCTGTCAACAGGCAGTGAACGAGCGAGGAAGGTGAGCTCATCAGCCTTCCGTGTTCAGAATGTAGACTCTTTGATTAATAAACATGCACCCCCCACTTGAATTGGACAATCCTCTTCATATGGGGCGGTTTATTAATCAAGAGTACATTGCCCCTCATCTGAGGTGCCACTGTGAAGGGATTCTTCGATTCACTGACCGCTTGAAGACCAGATTTTATCAACTGAGACGAGAGTGCCCTCTTGCAGCATTCACTAGCGATGGCCTCCAACCTAAGAGCGATGGCTCCAACCTACCTCTGGTTGTTTGTTTTAGTGTCCACAAGTGCCCGCGGAGTCTACATCTTGAGTGGCAACCAGCGCCCCCCCCCACAAAACAGAGTGCTCTTCAAGCTTCGCACCATGTAGACCTTGGAGCCACCCTCAAGGATAAATAAAGACACCAAAAAACATGTGCAGAAAAACCTTGCCCCGCCAAAGCACACCGGTGCTTAACACTTACCATAAGAACCCCTCGTGTCGTGTGTCCACACTGCTTGGGGAAAAAAGCGTCCACCAAACGCAGCTCCAGGTGTCTGGTCTGATCCATTCGCTTCCAGCAAGGTACTCCGCAGCTCCAGGCTCTTCAAGCCCAGCTCTCGCTGTCTCTCATTCCAGGCGCTCGCCACGCTGTTCGTCTTCAAGGATTCCTTCGGTCGACGTCCGTCGGTCGTAGACTCGTCGGTCGTAGACGACGACGAAGGGTTTGGTCGACGGTCGGGGCATCGTCCCCGAAGGGTTGGGTCGCCGGCTGCCTCGGAGGGGTTGGAGGGGACGGAGGGCACTGAAAAGCAATCGGTGACCTGTCGTGAAACGAATCGAATGGCCATGGCCATCTCATCTTGGGTCCATGGCGCCTGCATGTCGCAAAAATGGCGACACTCCCTGGAACTAAAAACCTGTTTGGTATTGGAATGCGTTTGGAAACTCGGGGTGAAGACAGCTTGGAGGATTACAATCCTCTGAATTGCCTTGGGGCCCAATATAATAGCCACTGATAGCCACTGAATGAAGCAAGGGCAATTCCTCCTCAATGATTGAAAATCGTCTTGGACTGCATGGGATGATTTGAACCCTCCACCCTGCCACAATCCTTCCGGCCCTGCTTTCATCAACTAGTCTTGGACTCCCAGTACTTTCCCAGACGCTCCGTTCACAGGCCGACTGGTCCAAACCATAAGGATTTGAGGATCCAGACCCCTCCATATGAAAGCACGGCCCCTACTTAGCAGGTCCAGGGTCGCGTCCGGGTCATGAAAGTACTTGTGCGCAAACCGACGAGTCGTGGAGTTTTCCTACCTCCGGCGTCGCAGACCAACCAATGGAGTCACACACCACCCAGTGGTCGGTGGGGGGACCCGAAAAACGCAGTGAAGATTGGTGAACATCGCGCGCCCAAAAAAGAAAGGGTTGTTACCCCCCCCCAGCCCCCAGAAAAAACAAGCCAATGTTGCAGCAAGCAAATGGCAATATATAAGTTGTTTGAAATCTATCTGGATCTATCAGGCAGTTCCCCACGACAAACATTAAAACCATTTGGATCCCCAAAGGTCTATACAAGTACCCTGTCTTCACCATCTCGCCACCCTCCAGCAATGGCACCCTGGCAAAACCGCGATGCACCGAGGTGCTAAGATCCATCGTCGCTTCCGGGGTCGCCAGCAGAAGCCCCAGTCTTCGTTCACGTCGGCGCGCTCCAACTCCATCTCCAGCTGCTGCGAGAAGCGCGCCGCCTGCGCGTGCCGGCGGTTCGATGGGCCAGAGCAGGTCGCACGGCGACGCCGACGAAAGGAGTGTCACGGAGCGTCGGTTTCGCTTTTCGGGGATCGACATTGGCTCCAACGGTCTGGGGAATATGGCTATGATAATATCAAAGTCAAAGCTGAAATGAGGATGATGGGAGGAGAAAGCCCCTGCACAGAAGCTGACGAGTGGATGCCATCCTGATCTTGAAATTCTTCCTAAGGATGTTAATTACGTGGCATGGCTTGGTGGGTTGTTGTCAGGAAAACGGCAGAATCCAAGACAAATGCAGAAAATGGCGTGGCCAGCCACCTGTATGTGTAGGTGATGGCTGACTTGCCCCTACCATTTGGGAATAACACAGCATACCAGAGAAGCAGGCAGGGTTCAGGATGCGTGTGCGACGATTCACATCACAATGATTCATGTTAAACATGTTAAACCGACTTTTTCGTGTTGATCTCCCGTCGCTCAAAAACCTCCTCACGAGCTGCGGCCTACTCAAGTGCCACTCCATCACCAACTTACAGTCCCTTCCTGCCTTCCTGCCGCTCAACCCGTCCAGTTGCATGTCCCCCAGCTCACCCCACACCTCACAGCTCCACACATCACCGGACCGTGCCTTAGGCGTCGCTTCACTGGGCTGGTCGGACTCCCCTTCGGTCAAACTCCCGCAGAGGTCCGTCAAGCTGCCCGTCCGCAGCACCGGCGGCGGACTGCGCTCCGGGCAGCGCTCCACGCCCGCGCGAGCGGCCTCCGGATCCTCGCGAGGACGACGCAGATGGGAGGTCGGTCAGGTCGGTCAGGTCGGTCACTGGGCGAGGTCGGTGCAAATGGACGATGATGGGTAGATACAGATATCAGTGATACCATGTAGATGAGGTCCACTGGAGAGAAGGAGGGTTCCATCCGTTGGGACAATGCTTGGATGGGCCATCCAAAGCACCCCTTGAAACGGTGGGCCATCACCTCCGTTGCGCACGTCTTCCAGTGCTGGAAGTGGCTGCTAAGCGCTGCTACACTCAAAACAATCATGGAAGTGGCTCTGCCATTCCAAAACCGCCACGGTCCGCCGCCGGCGGGGCCACCACATCCGGTCGGTGTCGGCGGGTCCACGCGACCGTCGTCGCTCCTTGTGTCCGCGCACCATCTGTAACCACGCGCGCGCCACCTGCGCCGCCGGCATGGCCACGCCGGTGTCGGCCAGCATCACCTGGGGAGCGCCGGCGCACGCGGAGTGAGGCCGGCGCACGGCTGGCTGCGCGGAGTCGACCGGTGGTTTGGTGTCTGAAGATGGGTGGGCATAGAAACATCGATATATACACATCTACGCTTCTAAGGCTTGCTGCCGTGTCTCTTCCAAACCAAGAGGTCAGAGCCCAAAACCCAAAAGGTGTTCTCTTGCGTTGCTTCGTCACACTCTCCGTCCAGCTCTTCTTGAGCTCGGATTCTCTGCTCGCCGCAGGCGCACTCTGGGGCGTTGCCTGGGCGCCGACAAAGACCCGAAGGAGCACAAGAACTGTGGTATGGATTGGGTATATCATGTAAAGGTAAAGTCGCCAAAACATCTTTGGGTGGGCGTGGGGGTCTCCCCATTATGTGGAAATATATGCAAATATACTGTGGTCAGTAAGAATGATGATTTTCCTCGACCTTCCTGTATCTCCCACCACATGCTTATGGTATATCCCACTACCAGTAACTGCAGTGGATGATGATGGTTAGGTTCCAGGCCTGTCTCTAGGTGGACAGACCCTAGGTATGGATGTACATGACGTGTTTGAACTAGGGAGACCCGCTACGAGCCTCATAAGCCGCTGGCAAAATGAGAGATGTGAATAATGTGAAGTCAAGCCCAGTACTTGGAGGATCTCATATGGATCTCATTCTTCCAATCCAATGCACGCCCACCAGGGGTAAGGTAACAGAGTCCATGCACCAGCTCTACTGCAACACTGGAGACACCAAAAACACTGCCAAGAACTAGGGCGTTCCTGCAGTTCATGCCGTGCATGGACCCACACGTGCGAAACAAAAATAAACCAAAGCAATGAAAGCAGCCTCTCCGGACTCCTCCTTGGACTCCTCTTCGGATCTTTTTGGCTTCTGATCCGCTACAGGTACTCTGACTAGCGGATCCTTTTGAGGGTGTCATAGGCCAACTTCATCGATGGAGAGATGGCACAGTACTGCCCAATCTCATGTTCAGACCTTTTCTGACTATGTGCACCCTCCAACTGTCACCATCTGCTCCAATACTCCACACATCGAGGCCTTCCCTCGAGCTCACGAAAAACACCCGCCCCCAAAAGCCCTCCACCTCCGCATTCGCGGCCAGCGCCACGGCGGCCGCCGTGCCCGGGGGGGCGCGGTTCGGCGCAGGTTCAGCGGCGAACGGCAGTCCTCCAAGAGGTCTTGGGAGGAGTGCGGAAGAACCAACGGAATAATCTTGGCATCTGCGAGTCTTGAGGCTCAAAGCATGATCTGAGATGGCCATCGACGCACGACTTGATTGGTTTCCTCAAGCAGGTCAACCCTTATTGCCAAGGGCGCCCGTCAATTCTGGCGTTCTTTCCACGCCTTTGCCGGGTTCAGCGCATGCATGCACCCTGCATGGCTCGAGCATGACATGGACCGACCTATACGGCCCTCTTGGAGCCTGCCACCAGCGGTTGGTCCCGTCCTTGCTGGAAGATTAAGGCCAGAAGCACCGCCAGCAGCGTCAAGGCCGCCAGGATGGAAGAGCCCCACAGCACGAAAGCGATGGCGAGGGCGATCGCAGCACCCAGCCATTGGGACTTCAAGCCCTCCATCGCGTGAATTCGGTCGTTGCTGTAGTGTGTAGCGTGGGGGGGTCTTCCGGTGGTGTTGCAAAGCCTTCTCGTGCCATCGTGCTAGGGAGAGAAAACAAGGACGAGCGTGGATTCCCATCATTTTGGCGGAGGTGTTCACCTTGTCCTTTTCTATTGGGGAGGTGTTCCCACATAACTCCTCAAAATACAATGCCATGTGGAGGAGGTTCTTTCTTTTTATCAGGCTGCCGCTGGGATCCTATCTCTAGTAGACTCCCTTTCTTCCAAGGCGAAGCACCATACAGCTGACACCTGCTGACCCAAAAAACGGACACGATCGACACATTCAAAGGAGGCCAACGAGGACGAGGAGGTGTCCGGAAACCCACCAATTACGTTAGATCTTTTTTTCCCCAAGTGCTGCTCAAAGATCCATGCATTGGCTGCGAAAATCGGCACAAGGCAAATCCCCTGAGACACAGTGCCGTCAACACAACACAGTGCCGTCAAGTCACATGAATTAAGTAGCAGTAGCATCAGTAGCATCTGCGAATATCTGCGCTGATCAGGAAAGAGGCTCTCAGGAAAAGCCTAGGACACCTCGTGACTCATCCCATTGTTTGACCTCGTGCGCGGTATGTCTCAACGTATGTGTCCTCCCGTAGTTGTAGCCAAGCGCCGCTCTCCTCAGGTTGGCAGCATGTTTGGAAATCCATTGACCTTAGACTAGGTTGACCTCACTCGTCTAGATTGATCCCACTCGTCTAAGATCAATCTAGTCTAAGATCAATGAATTTCCAAAAAAAACTGCCCACCTGTGTCTCCAACGATGAGAACTTGATCCATCCATTCAGGATCAGCCTCCCAAGGCGCCTGTCGGCATCCCTCGCCTCATTAAAGAGAGCACTATACAAGGCCAATTGCAGCTACATGGACCATATATCTGCAATAATTGGCCTTCGCGGTTGAAATGAAGACGGCTTCCCATGGACAACCACCTGAATGCTAAATCAGTGATGTTGAGCTCAACGGTGACATACTTCTTTGGACCAGCATCCTCGGGGTTGGCCATCTGCTCAAGGTTCTCCTTCTCCAAGGAATCCATCTTACATTGGGTTCCCACCCGTTGAAGGCGAATCCCCTGTTCAGTGGTCGGTTCGGGCTGGGTGACACACTAACGACCACTGTGGGGATCAGGCTTGACCCCGTGGCCTGCCTGCAGCGGCTGAAATTGGGATGAGCACGGCACAAACCAACCTGGATCATCCAACGGGTGTCCAATAGAGATCCCTAAGTAATGTAGGGTGGTCCATTGAACACCCATTGGATGGTGGAATATCTTTCCATCGCAGCTGCAGTGACCCGGCACTGATTCCATCGTGACCCGCTGCAGCCGAATCCTTGTCGTGAGAACGCGTCGCCATGTTCGACAAGAAAACCCCTTGAAACTTAAAATAGATCCCATACACTCCAATGTATGGAATATATGCCGATCAATTGACCCCCCAAACCACCCCAACTGATCGGCATATCATATATTCCATACATGGAGCGTCTGGGGATGAAAATCTCACAGCCTGGCGTGGATGTCGTGGAGGCTTTTTTGGAAGGGTCTACCGAGTCTACCGTAGTGAAGGGAGCTGGCCGGATCCACTGGAGGGCGTCCTCTTCAGGTTGGCCTGGTGGCCCAGGCGATCCAAAGGGTTCCAACTTGGAATGTCCTTTCTGCTGTCTGTACACTCCCTGGAACTAACATGGAAGTGGAGAATGGCCCCTTGGAAGACCATGTTCCACTACAGACAGGTGGTTTTCCACTTCCATGTTAGTTCCAGGGAGAGTAAACTGCTTGGATGTGTCTCTCGTGCACATCTCTTGCACGACGAGTCTTCTAATGGATCAAGAAACACATTTGATATTTGCAGAACTTGAGGCCGAGGGTAGGTGACGAAAGCTAGCAGGGGTGCATCCGGACTGGTGGGACATCAAGCGGAGTGAGGCAAATGCTAGCTTTCGTGATATTGCAGAATGCATTTCCCCAAACATTGTTTCCACTCTGCGCATCTCTGCGGGCTGTCATATCTATCGCTGCAGCTGCTACCTGCTTCCAAACACGGCAAACGGTAGCTATCGTGGACGAAGCGCCAAAATGCATGACTCGTGCTCGTGCTCAACCTTAGCTTCTGCATCATCTCACCCAGGAGATGGATTCCCACTTCTTGTAGACATCCACAGGGATAACCAAATACCTCAACAATCTAATCCGGCCACATTTGGATCAGCTGCCCACCCCACCTTTTTCTGCTTCTCTCCTTCATCCCATGTCCCGAAGTCCTCCAATGTCCATGCGCACGCACAAAAACAAACCGGGCAGCCGATGACCACGGAGTTGGCTAAGACCACTGCAGCCATCAACATGGCAAAGAACTGGGTCTCCACCTGAGCTGCTGACCACCGAGGCACCACCCGATGGGTAGGACGGTGCTTGACACCCAGCGGAGCCGGAGGCGCGGGCGTTTGGAGGAGGTGGAGGCCCAGTTCTCCATCCACTCCAGCCCCAACAGCCAAGATGTCTCCCAGGATGTTCGTCACATGTCCAAAGTCTTTGATCCGCTTGGAGCCGCGACCGGGGGGCGCGGCTCCAAGCATCAGGAGCAAAGGGGGAATGAGAGAATGAGGCAGAACAAGGAAGGAACAGCACCTGCAGTGCTGGAGCTTGCACATGTGTCGTATCGTACGAAAGTAGTAATTACGTCCATACCTACTTACCACATGCTAACACATGCCATGACATGCGCACTCGCATGCCATGGCACCGCATACCATGCGCACTCTCCAATTAGGCTCCCGTTTCCGCCCAAGGAAGGCCATCCGCCCAATAAGGGTTCCGCCCCTTCCACCCCTTCCGCACCGACCGAGCAACCCAGGGCACCGCCTTCTGCGACATTTGGAGGTGTCTCTCCTGCCGCCGGCCCTCACGTCACATGGGTGCCCCTCACGGCAAAAACGGCCGCTTTCACTGTCGGTGTTTCGCGGGGTTTGCTGGCAAATGTGTGTGCATGGCTCTGATCTAAGGTAATTTCACGTTGTAAGTATCTCGCATGTTGGGACACGACGCCTCTATTGAAAGGCTATGAAAGGCTCTCCCAACTAAACTCCAGCTCACTAGGTGGCTCTTGGTACCAACACTGCTGAATGAGATGGAATGAGGGACAATGAGGGACTGGACCCCAGGTGCTTTTCTTCAAGAACCTTGACATTCGACCTCCCCCATGAGGAACTGGCACCCCCCTAAAGCTTCACAACCCGAAGCTCCGCCCTCCTAACCTATGAACACCACGATGGCCAGATTTGGGGATCCCACGCATCAAAGCCGAGCGCTTTTTCCGAAGCAACTCGTCCCGAGCTTCGTCCCTGAGATGGGCGAACTAAGTGAACTCCTTTGTCCGGAAAGGCGGCGGGTTCCTGGGAGGGGGCTGTCTACCTAGACCCTTTTACAGTCCAAGGACTCTACATGTGGCAACGTCGAAGTAAAGAAAACTTACTCTCCGGGTCACCTTACTTTAAAGATTCAAAAGAAATCAGGAAACAAGGTTGATGAATGTTGATGAAAACGGTCTTGGACTCAGAGGGTCTAGCTTTGGATGACCAGAAATTGACGACTCTGTGCCCTGCAACGACAAACTCCGCAACTGACACGGGAGAATAGCAGCATGGCACCGGCAAGGTCCTTGGCAGCACGCTCAGCTTCCATCTCCTCCAACTCCTCTTGCAACCTTGGTGTCTATCGGTGGAAGAACATCTCACAACCTCACCACCAATCTCACAATCTCACATCTTTCGGATGCTTTTCCACCCAAAAACCTCACCCCTCGACGTGTCAAAACATCTGGTTTCGACGTTGAAGGACACTTTTGCGTCCGGACCGGATGAGGAGGGATCTTTTTTAGCATACGCGCCACGCAGCATCATGGCTTCCATCTCCGCATTGTCCAAAGTCCTCAGCTCTGTTTTTGCGGCGCCACTCTCTCGTTTGGCTTCAGAAGCTGACCCTATCAGTTCCGTGGCAAGAAAAGGCTCTCCCGAACCAAAAATTGACGTTTGCCATCGGCCCTTGGCGCCCTGTCGTTACGGCAAACCCACATCCTGCATCCAAACATTTGCCGCTAATGTTGATATCCCAGCAGTTCCAAAGGAATGGCTTTTTAGTCCCAAAGTGAGTGGATGTTCTGGGCACCCTTATCCTCCTCAAGTTCGGCACCCCGAACAATGACGATCTCATGCGGTGTTTCCTTGCTTTTGGAACATGCAGGCCATGGGACCGTCGTTCTCTCCTACTCTCCTACTCGTTTCTTCTCCCGTTCGCCTGGACCCGTCGGTGCCCAAGGCGCGTGGTGCGGGTCCTCAGGACTCGTGCGAGCTGGCGTGACGAGTCGTGACTGACTGGTGACTGCCGGAGGTCAAGTGATTTTGAATGATGTGACTGCTACGGATTTTGAATGATTTTGATCAAGTTTGGACCGTGTCCATAGGACCCGGAACAGTTGGGGTACCGGTTCCTGGGAGTTCAGAACCACCTCTGTTGGTGGCTGCGTGCATTGAAACGCTCTACTCACTGGTGCGACTCGTAGGGAATGAGGGAAGGACCTCCACGTGGAGATTCCTTAGGCTCCAGCCACCCTCATTCCTTACTTTCGTCGCACCAGTCAATGATCCGGAGCGTCATGCACATTCACATCACTTCACCGCGCGAGCGGGTACGGGGGGCCAACGTCGCCAGTCCAGTCGAAGGGCAACGTCATTCGATCCTAAATCATCCATCCCAGATGCGACCCTGGACCCTCATGTGGAGGGGTCGGACCCGAATCCTTTGCGTCTGGGGTCCTAATCCCTAGGTGTTGAGGGACCAAGGGCTGTGAACGGAGCGTCTGGGACAAACCTGAGAAGTGTTGATGCCTAAACACTAACCAAAAACCTAAGTGATTGAGCTAACGCAAAGAAATGCAGAGTCTTGATTGCCTCCTGGTATTTTTTATGCTAAGTTCTACACATGTCTACATCTTTTCGGGTGGATTAACAAACCTTCCCAAAATAATGTCTCAATGGTACACATAGTAAATCAAAAGTCTACAAGACTTCTCACGTCTTCTGTTTCTCCATGTCAACCCGCCGTCGAAACCACCTTCCAGGGCCTTCAGGACGTCAGGAGTCACATTGTGTCCTGAGATGGACCCAAATGTCCATTCGCCAAGTCACATCCGGGCATTCCTCTTGTTCCGACGTGCCTCCGCTTCGGCGCCTTCCTCCTGCGAAGAAGCTGCTGTGGCCAATTGAAATGAACTGGAGGTCTTGCGACCCATGTTGAATTCACAAGTTTGTGGACACCACATCGCCACATATCGCCACATCACCAACTCCTGCAAAAAGAACAAGTCAGGCCTCCCTGTTCAGCTTCCTGACGTGTGGTTGTCAAATACAGACCCCCCCCCTCATTGCCAGAAAACGTGTCGGTGGAGCTGGTGAGGATGTGCTCCATGAACAGGCTTTCAGTATAGAGGTGGGGTTGAAACCCGTTGCCGCGCACCGGTAAGTAAGAGTCCAAACACCGGAGACTCCGTTTCCTCGAATGAGACCAGGTCTCATGACTGAAATGGGCCTTCGGCTTTGATGGATCCCTTCATGAGCTCTAAAATGCTCCAGCTGGGCCTTGATTTTCAGATGTTCGATGGTGCGCGTTTCGTCGTCGCTGAAGTCAGCGAAGCACCACCTCATCGGCACCGATGGTTGGACCTCCAGGGCGGTACCAGTCGACCACTGCATCCGCTGGGGAAGCCACTTCATTCAAGCTGCATCCGCTTCGCCCCCATCCCGGCCTGGTCAAAAAAATAGGACTTCGGACTTGTCATCCCTCCACTTCTTTCACTTCATCCACTTCATCCCCTTCCCCCCATCCCGGGCTTCATCCCGGGCTTCATCCCTGTGCAGCTTCCTCCTCCTCGGCATCTTTGTCCGAATAAGTGGGCCTCGGATCCAGTGACCATCGTTGGCGATGGTTGGCAACCGGCACAAGACCCAGACGCTCATTGACCCGAAGCAACTCCTATACATGTTGGTTCGGTCCATTTCACCCTAGTTGTGAGGGTCAAAACCCTAGCCGACTGAGGGTCCAATGAGCCTTTTGGGTAAGGTCAAACATGTTCAAACCCTACCGTGCAAAGCAAACTTGGATGGTGAACGACGATGGTGAACATATGGAGCATGCATCCAAATGTCTAAAAGGCCCGATCGGGGATCCATAGAAGCTTGTGCCGTCATTCCACCGTCACATTCACTGCGCAACAAGTACCACACCCTTGAAAAACCTCCAAACACCTATTACCGCGTCTGAGTTGGCCTGTTGCCACTCTAGGATTCCAGTCGCAACAGTGCCCGTGCAGGGCCCCATGAGCAGCTGCCTTTGCGGACCCTAAATAGATGAAAGATCAATGTAGTACACAAGAACATCGCCAGAAAAACAACAAAAAACACTCCTCTCCCGAACGTCCCGGCAACATCGGCCACCTTCCCGACGGTACCGCTTCAGCCGGTGCCGTCTGCGGAGACTCGGCGGTCGGATTCCTTGGACGGTGATCCATCCATATCCATCCGTCGGGGTCAGGCGCTGAAGCCAGCCCGGTTTTTGGGATAGGCCATCAGTCAGCCTGTTCGATCTGAAGGTCGAACGGAAATCATTTGGTCGGAAGGTCTGATGCCAAAAAATGAACTGGTCACTGGTATCCCGGATGATTCTGGACTCGGCATGACTCGGCCAAATGACTTTGAAGATCTTTGAGGCGAACTTCAATAAAGATAATAAAGGATCTTCGTCCATAAAAAAAAAAAAAAAACAATCTCTAATCTTTCAGGACCCCAAGACCCCACCCAGAACTGATGCATCTTCTGGATCTTCCCTTTTTCAACAGATTTTCAACTCCTGACTGACCTCCACCCACTCCACCCACTCCCTTCCCTCCACGGCACGAGTCCGGGCGGTCGGAGCCCAGCTGGTCTTGCGACCCCAAGCGCGTCAGCGGCGACTCCATCGACCGTGCCACCCGCCGCGGCACGCGACGGAGGAAGCGTTGGGATCGGTGGACGGTCGGGATGAGGAGCAGTTGGGTCGGGATGGGGGGCGATGGACAGGGGATGACAGCTGGATCATGAAGAACAAGAGTGCTGGACGGCTGGTATGGAGGACGTCTGGTATGGTGCCCAGTGCGAAAGAGAGCACGGTTGCTTCGCATGTTCAATTCTGTACGGCATTTTTGGGTGTTGAGAGAAAACCCGCAGCCTCCCATCCAAGCATTCGAAGATCTGCTTCCAAACCAGACTTGCGAAGAAATCGCTGCACTTGCTGGTCCTTGTCGTTGCTTGCTCACATCAAGCGCCCAACTACCGTCCAAGCCCGAAGACCGCGCGGGTGAGGGGACGCGTCCCTCTGGTGTGGCCCCTTCGGATTGGGTGCTGTAGATTAGTGGATGATGGTTAGAAACTAGATCGATCTGTACTCAAGCAAAAATCCGTTGCCGACTGCTACAGGCTATATGGCACACACTACTAAAGGATCCTAAAGGCTCATGGCAGTTCAATTTCAAAGCTAGTTTGATGTGGAACTCACTACCTCCGAGTAGCATGGACTTTAATCAAGAATGCACCGCTCTCAGGGTTGAGTTAGTCTGTTCCGATCCCAGGACCTACCAGTGACCGGTGGTTGCTCTAGTTTGACACCCAATCTCCCGTCCAGTTCCCTCCTCCCAATTGGCTCACGTCGCTATCTAATCAGGCAAGTCTTATAGGCTTCAACAACACCTCTGCTGCCCATCCAGCCATTGCACACCAAGAACTGCAACAGCTAAGTGTGACAAAGAAAAGTTAAAAGGATACACGCCAAGCCTACAGAGGGAAAAATGCTTCCTGACGCGCCGACAGAGGGCAGGTAGAAAGAGGTGGCAGGTTCATTGAACAATAGCTCCAAATCTTCGCCTAACTTCAGCCACAGACGAGCCACATGCAGCCTAGCTCCCTCCCTCGGCCTCGTCGGCCACCGAGGCCTGGCAAGACGCGAGCCGTTGGGAACCCATGCCTTCCTTATTAGGAACAAGTGCCACGCTACTAGGAGCAAGTGCCTTACTTGTTCCTAAACAAGAAGCCTTCCTTCCCTTTTCGCCCGAAGTTGGGACCGACTGACCGACCTTCGAAAATGCTTTTTCTTTCAGTCACGCACATGGAAATCCTCCCAACATCGATCGAAACGGCCAACGAGACCGGAGGGAAGCAGTACCGCTGGCCCAACAGCCCCCAAAAAAGCTCCATGTACCGCTTGTACCTGCAACCTGGCGAGAAGCCCAAGACCCTAAGAGGGTTCGGAGATGGGTTGCCGGACTTGTTTCGGCCAAAAACTAGCAGAAATAATGTATCTGAAGCATCTACTAGACCCAACCACATGGGCCAACTAAAAGTGTCCCATTTGCACCTCGGTAAGGCACTGCCGCTTCCACCGCCGCTTCCACCGTTTTCTCATCCCGTCTCGGTGTCCCGTCCGCCTCCACCGCCTCGGGCGCCCTGGTCGGAGGGGACCTCGGCCGGGGGACCGAGAGGTGGACGTTCGGCCGGGGGCAACAGAGGTTCCAAGAGAGGTTGAGAGGTTCCGAACCTTCGGACCCTGAGATGTGGTACATATGGGATGGGCGATCTGAAAAGTAGGGCTGTAGGTTGTCAAGCTCTATATAGGTTGTTCTGAGGCAAACTGTTCGACGAATCCTCATATACCCATACACGACTCGTTTGGGGCTGCCAGGACGGACTGCCGATCCATTGACCCCCCCAAACCACCACCCCAACTGATAGGCAGTCCTATGGCAGTCCCATGGAGCGTCTGGGATATGGGCACCCCAGCTCAAACGAGCATGTCTGGGTGGATGGGGCAAGCTGAACCCTATTGAAACATGTTAAGAATCCATATCCTCACGTAGTCTCTTCTGCTCATCTATGGTGGTCAACCACGGTGGTTCTGTTTTTATATGCCTCGGCTCCCTACCGACCGAGCTGACGCAAGGAGGAAGGTCCATCCGATTGGCTCCCAACGGCTCCCAATCCAGTTGACCGGATAAGACATCATACCCAAACACTCCATGGGACCTGCCATATATCCCCTAATTACATTGACCCCCCACGTCAACCACCCCTGGCCGTTTCTCGGCAGTCCGTCTGGCAGTCCCAAACGGGTCGTGTCTGGGATCTATGGGACGCCCAGCTGACAAGAAACCCTCGACATCCCAACCCCACGCGCCCCGTTCTGAAGGAGGTCACATAATGAGGAGACCGACCAGTAGAGCAGACATGAACAGACTACAAGGGATAATGATGGTTTTGGGGGTTCAGGTTTTGACCTACCCACACCGGGCGAGGTGCATCACCCAACCAGTCCACCGTGAGAGGAGCCATACCACCATGTTTTTGGGGGTTAGTGGTTCGCAGCGGTTCCGCTACTGAAGCGCCCGCTCAGGGGAAAAAAAGAGGAGGACCTAACTTCGGAGATCGACCGTTTTGTGGGGGAGTGATGGGGAGCGGTTTCACCAAATCACCAATTCCACCCGTTCCACCCATGGAAACACACACATCCGCTGGGCAGTGACCGAGCACAAGGGCCCCGCCAATCGCATGGATTTGGTTTGGAGGGAAAAGGGCGCCATCTTCACCGCGAGCAAAACAGAAAAAATAACACCAAAACACCACCCAAACGCTCCTGACCCCTCATATGCAGGGGTCGGACCCTCATATGCCCATATGGAGAGGTCTGGACCCTCAAATCCCTATGGTTTTGAGGGACCGGTCGGGCTGTATGGAGCATCTGGGCAGATGCTGACTGTGGTGCTCCCCCCCCCGGATCGATCTCCTGCAGATCCGATCACTCTGAGAAGCCCCGACCCCTTGGGCGAGACGCGCGCGGGCACGACCGCCGGGGCCTGCCGCGAGGCGGAGGCGGCGCATGGGTCCGGGTCAGCGGCCGGTGGTTCACCGGTTCCCAGAAACCTGTGGAGCATGGAACGTCTTCCAGAGGTCGCCATCAGGTTCCATGTGGGTCTCCTGCGTGTGCATGTGAAAGACCCGCTGGTGTCCTTCGTGACGCCTTCTTGACGCGTACGGTGGGCGAAGAAGGACTTCTTGCTCCCAATGTTGGTCACACTCCGGCGCACAGATCACATGAAAGTGGAGTTCACACCCTATGAGCTGTTAAGCAAAGTGCTCTTCCAGGTGCCGAAGATGTCCACATCTATCTTATTGGTGAGTCAGTCTCTCTCTCTCTCTCTCTCGCCTTCAGAGATCAGGATCCGCTTTAAGCTCAGTCTAAGTCGGAGTGTCAGATCTGGCTCCTACTAGAAAAGTTATAGACATGGAACAAACAACCAAAACCCTCGCGAGGAGATGTGAGGAGCTAATTAAGACCACTACTATAGGAAGTAGATGTTCTTGTATCCGACGAAAAGGACGACCGCGCGCCAAATCCGCCCTTTCCTGCCTGCGCCGCCGGAGCCCTGGGGCAGCGTCTTTCTCACGTGACAAATCCAGGAAGGGAGGTGGAGTCGAATCTTTTAGAGCACGGTGAGCAGTGAAGATCTAGTCTGGTCTGCCACCCCCCCCGACCAGGCGCCGAAGGCTGAACACCCGCCCCGGGTTTTGGGAGCCCCCCTCGTTCAGAGGCATCCGGGCGTCACATCTCACAGGCACTGACGAACCCACTCTGCCAGCGGAGAGGGGGTGACTTGCTCGCCAACACGAAAGACGCCGTCCTCCCAGCCTGGCCGCTCCCTGCGCAAAAGCCCAGGTCTGCTGTGCATGCGCGTACTGTAGCCTCGTAGGGTCCACCCGGCAGGCTAGAGAGAAGGGGGGCATGGATTCATCTTAGCAGTATATCAGCCACAGGGCCACTTTGATATACTCGAGTGAGGCCTATTGGCCTATTGCGGGAGTGATGAAACATGATGAAGAAATGAAACAGCGAGGTCAAAAGCAGGGGAATTCCCGAACAAGAATAACATAACCCAGACACTCCATGTATGCCCTGTATGCCTACATTGACCCCCCAAACCACCCCAATGTAGGCATATATGGCATACATGGAGTGTTTGGGTAATTAACAGCTTGTGGAGGGATCTTCAGACAAACTTTCAATCCGAGCACGAATTTGTTTCATTTTTCCAAACCAATGACCCATTTGGTATGTTGGATGCGTTTTTTCTTGGTATTTGGCTGAAGCCCAGGCACTCCATGTATATGGCATATTTACCTCATTGACACCCAACACCACCCTAACTGATCAGCATATATGGCAGTCCCATGGGTCGAGTCTGGGAAGTGGTCTATGCAACGAACCTTGGCCCCTCTGCTCTGCTCTGAACCGATTCATCCGAACATGCGTCCGACGTCGACTCAATTTCCTATAGTCGACGCACCAAGACCACTGGACCGTCATCCCGAAAAAGCCGACACCTCTCTCCCCAAGTCGTCGGTTCCTTTGTACGGTAGACTCTTAGATAAATTCAACCCCCTAGAAAAATTTCCTTTTCATGTACATACCGGGAAACCCAAACAACCAGAAAGAAATGGATGTGTCCCCAACCAACCATTTCCTACTATGTAAAGGAACCATTTGTTTTTGGTTGTTTGGGGTTCCAGGATGTTCCAGGTATATATAATCAATATGTGTGGTTGGTCAATTCGGAGTCCACACGGCCACGAAACGGTCACCGCTCCGCCCCGGTCCCAACTCGATCGTCCCTGACGAGGAACTGGCGCCATGCCGCATTGGCCGCTTGCTGGATCAGCGCGTCCGGCGAAAACATGGCCCGAAGCGCGACGACCGCGCGGAGGCGCGGCGGCCGAAGCGCGGAGATGCGCTCATGGCCGCACGAGTGCGGCGCTGGAGCAAGGCGGCGCGGCCGAAGTGGAGAGAAGGATTCAGGACCAGGCGCCGGTGGGCGGGTTTCAGCCAAACAATGAAAAACAATGTTTAAAACACGAAAGGACTTGTTATAACATAACAGTTCCTTGTGGGCAAAAAAGAAAATGAGCGTAAAACCAGCCGCCAGCCTGAGAAGTCACAACATGTCAAGCG